CTCGAGCTTGTCGTCTGCCTGACGCAGGGCGATCTCCCTGATGTCGCTCGTCTCGGCCTGGATGACCGACTCCACCACAGTCCTGATGACGGTGTCCAGGGCATCATCTGCCGACAGGGCCACGCTCGAGTCCAGGTCGACACATCCCAAGGGCGCCGGGCGGCCACAGGAGGCAGCCAGCTCCAGCCGCACACTCTTGGCGAAGCCCCACAGGCCAGCATGCCGCGGGATGGTGGCGGTGGACACCTCACTCTCATCCGTGACGTTGTGGACCCCGTGCGTCAGCAGCCATGTGGGAGCGACCGCCTCCTTCCCCTTCTTCCGGCTGAGCAGTGTGATGAAGGCCTGGCTGAGAGTCAGGCACTCGCCCAGCACGGCCGTCGGATCGTGGTCCTGGTTCTCCAGGCCGCCCAGGTAGAGGATGGCGTCCCAGGACCCCTGACTGTTAAGTGCACCGGAGAGCATCGTCTGGAGGTCGTCCGTGTCGGTGCTGCAGAGGCTTCCGAAGGGAACCAAGGTTGACTCGTCGCTCAGACCAAGGCGGAGGGCATCAAACTTGGCGACCCATTCAGACGGCACGCCCAGCAGCAGCAGCCGGGGACGGTCAAGCACCTCAGTGACATCCTCCTCTTGCTGCTCACGCTCGACAGTCGACGTCCACTGGGTCTCCCAGAGCAGGTCAGCTGTGGCGGCAATGTCCATCCGTCTGACCTCTATGCCTTGGAACGAGGCCACTAGCTTGCCGGTCGCGGCGTCGGTCAAGGTGCAGTTCATCTGGGCTGAGCGCTCCTCCACCTTGATGATCTGCAGGTGGGACCACCAGCGGTCGTTGGGCGAGTGGGAGTAGGAGAGGGGCACGAACGCCTTGCCGATCCGGAAGAGCACCCACGCCCCGCTGCGGCCCTCGGTGCCATCGTTCTCTCTCCTCTTGTCATGCTCCAAATGAATGACGCCCGCGGCGGCCTGGAAGGCGCAGTCCAGGACGCCTGGGTGAGCCATCAGGAAGGGGCCGTCCCTCTTGTCATACTGCTCCAGACACGCGATCGCCTCTTTGTCGCCCACCCAGCACGACTTGATGGCGCGGAAAGACGGCCCGTACTCGAGGCCCAAGGCGCGCAGCTGCTTGTACATCTCGTCCACGTTGACCTCCTGCTGGCACCGCTCCTTGACGACCTCGACGGGCTCGACGGGGGGGTGCAGGGCGGCGTCAGCGCCGAACCACAGGGCGCCGTTGGAGGCCTGCTGGGGGCTGACGATGTGCGCCGCCGAGTGCTGGACGAGCTTGCGCTTCTTGGCGACCGACGACGAGTAGAGAGTGATGGTCGTGCCGCTCTTGGCGCCACTGCCACTCTGCTCCTTGACGGACACGTGGAAGCGGACATCGTCAGACACGCTGGAGAAGATTAGGGGGCGCTCGAAGAAAAAACCTGATGATGAAGATGGAACATCACAGACACAGCAGAGTGAGCGAAGACGTCAACCACAACCTGGCTCCTTGTTGTGTACACACGCACCTTCGAGGCAGACGATGCCGTCATCCTTGCTGATGGTCCGCGCGGCGGAGCAGATGGTTTCCACATACGTGGCGCCTGGGACGATGATAGTGCCGTTGACGACGTGGTCGCTCAGCATCCGCAGGACGTCCCGGCTCAGACGCCTCTCGAACGACACCTCGCGCGGGTGGGCCGCCGATAGGGACACTTGGGTGGGGCGGCCCAGCAGACAGTGAGAGGACGCGTCGGGTAGTCCATCCCCGGCCTCTACCGCCTCCAGGGTGTGCTTGGGCCAATCGTAGACCTGGTGGTCCCACTTCATGTCCGTGTGGAGGCGGCCCCGCTCCTCTGCCGGCTTCCACTCCTTGACGGCCTTGACGACCGAGTCGAGGAGGCCCGAAGCATCCCGCGTCTTGTCATCCATGGCCGCCAGCAGGGTCACGCCACTCTCACGCTCCTTGATGAAGTTGCGAGCTATCTTGATGAGCGTCGGCTTCGGCCCCACCTCAATGAAGACCACACCCGGGCTGCCGTCGGTTGCCTTGATGGCGCTGTTGAGCGAGTCCATAAACCTGACAGTCTTGGTGATGTGCTGAGCCCAGTAGTTGGGCGATGTCAGCTGTCCAGCCGATGCTGTCCTGCCCGTGACGGTGGAAATCAGGGGGATGGAGGGCGACTGCAGGGGGGCCTTGGCGAGCTCGTTGACGATGGCGTCGCGGAAGAGAGGCACGGTCGCGTTCATAAGGGGCGAGTGGTAGGCGTGGGACACGGGCAGCATCCTGTGCCTATCCTTGTCAATCTTGAGCAGCTCCAGAAGCGCCGACACCTCATCTCTCTTGCCCGCCACCACCACCCTCTCGGGAGCATTGACACCCGCGATGGCCAGGCTCTCGAATGACGACTTGCCGCTCTTCAGTTGCTTGATGCCCTTGACCACCTCGTCCTCGCCGGCCAGCAGTGCTGCCATGACACCATCCTCTGACGGTGTGTCCTGCATCAGGCGAGCGCGGGCCACGACCAGAGCGAGCCCCACCTCCAGCGACATGACGCCAGCAATGGTCGCCGCGACGTATTCGCCGAGAGAGTGGCCGAGGACCATGTCGGGCGACACTCCGCGCTTGATCAGGGACTGGGCGAGGGAGTAGCCGAGGGAGAAGAGGATGGGCTGTTGGTAGCGCGCCTGGCTCAAGAGACCCTGCAGCTCAGCCTTGGTGGCCTCGTCGTGGGTCTGGGGGTAGATGAGCCCGAGCATCGATCGGGGGAGATGGGGGTCGACCAGCGCCGCACACCGATCCAGGTTGGCGCGGAAGACCTCGTCCGTCTCGTAAAGGTCCTTGCCCATCCCGACGTACTGGGAGCCCTGGCCCGTGAAGAGGAAGGCGACGCGGGGGCGGGTCTCCTTGTTTTCTTGGGCCGCTGCGGTGTCCTCCTCGGGGGCGTCGAATGGCGAGGAAAGGATGACGTGTGCGTTGGTGCCCCCGAAGCCGAAGGAGCTGACGCCTGCCACGAGTGCGCCCCCGTTCTTGCGAGTGAGCTGGAAGCCGTCTGCGGCCGAGGGGAAGACGACTGGGAAGCCCTCTGTGTTGATGTTGGGGTTGAGGGTCTTGAGGTGCAGGTTGGGCGGCACGCGCTGCATCTGGAGGCAGCAGATGGTCTTCAACACACCAGCCATGCCTGATTATTGAGTTGTGAATGACACAGGAGAGAGAGACCGACATGAGTGTGGTGGGCATGCAAAGGTGGGTGACTCCATCCAAGGCCTGCCTTGTGTATCCCTCACCTGCTGCTCCTTCAAGAT